ATCATAGGATCCAAACAATCATGCCCCAGCCGGTAAGATCCGACTTCCTGGGCCCTGTACTCAGCATCACCTGCTTGTACAGAGCAGGCGGAGGAGCCACGGGATGGCGTGCTGGGCTAGCCTGTCCAATATTGAGCCTCTGTGCACTGGCCTGAAGCAACGATTCTTAGGTTTAAAACCTTTTTTCAAACGAAATCTTATACAAACCCAAGTAAAGCACAGTTCTTCTGGTTTCGATAGGGCTGGGGGTCCTGGAGCCTGGCCCGTCTGACACACCCTCTCCCACCAGGGAGCGTGTGTACCCGGCCTCTCCTTTTCCTGGAACTCCTTAACTCCCTCCTTTCTGGGCCCGGGAATGGAGAGGATTGAATGACAGAAGACTGGGGAATGAATGAGAAATGTGCTACACACTTTACCTGTTTTGTCTTATTAAATGAACGAAGTTCCAGGACTTGGTAAGAGGTGAGGAGATTTGTTTAAAATGAGGACTGTGGAGGAGGAAAACGCTGCAAACCACACTATGTAGGTTGTATGTGCCTCGTCTACTCAGAAAGCCCCCAGGAGTTACCCTGAACTCCCTGTCAGCTCCTGAATTCTCCCCCAGCTTCGGGGGCCTTCTGCGGGGGGGCTAGAGTGGGCTAACACCAGTCCTGCCAGGAATGGCACCCGTTCCTGGTCCTGCTGCTGGAACCAGAAGAAGTAGCAGAAGGAAGTTCCAGGCAAGGGAGACATAGGAGCAGGGCATGAAATTCCCTGCGGGCACAGCGCTAATGCTCAGGAAGAGAGACCAGCTTCTCAAAATCACCAGAAGTTCTTCTTTAAAATGCAGATTTCTAGCCTTGTCCCTAGAAGAACCTGTTATATCAGACACTCTGGAAGCAGGGTCTGGGAATTAGCATTTTTTTAACAGGTGCCCTAACTGACTGTTATTCCCACTGCATTGTCAGTAAGAGGCCTTCAGAGTTTTTGAGCAGGGGAGTGCCGTGGATGAATTTACCTATCAGTTAAACTACTGCAGCAACTTTGTGCAGAATGCATTTGGGGAGAAGAGAGGAAAGGAAGAGATACTAACTAGCTGGAGGGGAGCCGAGCAGTGTGGGGTGGGTGGGGAAATACAGCTTAGGAAACAGTTTGGGGGTGAAGTTGTAGAGCCAGGTCACTGAGTGAACGAACGTGGAGCATGAGGGTGAGAGGCATCGGGAATGACTCCCGGGGATCTGGCCGTAGTGACTGGGGATTCCTTTGGGCTCCATGGGCCCTTTTGCATTTAACAGGTGAGTATTATTCAGCACAGCACATCCGATGAAAATGTTAACAGGAGCAACTCAATAAAAAGATGATTTTGCTGTAAGATCAAAGTGGAAGAAGATGAACCCACGAAGAAAACCTAGAGGGTGGAAATGTACACTTTAAAAAATAGTCTAGAATAAATTTCAACCAAAATTGGTCTTTTATTGTAGTTTTGGTGATTAACAGGACTCTCTTAGTCATCTGGAATGTTCACTTATAAAGAATATCTCAGTCCCCTAGTCAATTGAGAATACGGGCAGAGTGGGGTCTTATGTTTAGACTCAATCTTAAAACTAGGGCTAGACTTGGGCAGGGGAGAGCTTTGTGGGGTGCCACGGTAGACGCCAAGATCCAAGGACCAGATAAGCAAATCGTAGATCAAACAAGGGTGAGAGGGTCAGTTTGGCTGAAGTCATCATCATGATGACGATCTTAGAGCAAATCTCAAACAAATATTAAGGTTTTCATTTGAAGCAACCTTATCCTAGAAGCACTGCATGGGAAGAAACAATAAAGTTGCATAATCGTTTTAAAATATGTAAATACGAAGGGAACTTAAGTATAAAAAGGTGACTGATAAAAAAAAAGGTGATTGTAGACACAGGATAAAGAAACCTAACAGCAAAGATAAAATCATTAACTCTGGTGGAAACCAAATGGTCCCGGGGGACTGGGCGGTGCCTGTCAGAGGACACTGGACGAACAGCTGTGTTGACACTCGTCCCATTCAGTTGCCCAGGACACTGAAAGATCACTTGCTGAGGGTCTCTGTTCCAATGAGAGTGGACTGTGAGTGGCCGGGAGCAGCTTCCTGAGGCCCCGTCCCGGAGCTGCTGGGAAGCCAGCAGCATCACTGTGCCCTGCGGCTAAGCCGTCAGCAGCTAAGTGCGTGGGTCTTCACAGCTCGTTTCCTGCTTCCGCTTGGTCTTACACCTGAGTCATCCTTTATTTATGTCGTCCTATAGCATTTCCATAAGACGGTTGTGGCCAACACCATTCATCAACCTAACAGGCTCAAATGGAACTCTTTGAAATCTCCCGGGACATGCTTTGATCTAAGAAAGGAAGAGCTGTTAACAGCAATTCTTAAACTAGGAATTTATGTCTTCCCATAAATTGACCTCGGGAAGTGATTTGTGGATTCCGAAAGAGAAATGTCCTTCCTAGGTCCCTGCACTCCTCCGCCCTCCCTGCTCCCAGCCCCACCAGCTGATGTCCTCTGCCCGCTCTTGCGAGCTCCAGGCCAGGATCTCTGGGGACAGAATCCCGGTTGTGTGTCTTGGCTTGTTCCTTCTGCTATTTGTTCATTCATTCATTGAATATTTATTGCGCTCCTGCTGTTTCCAGGCAGGGTGCTAAGCGCTGGAGACGCAGTGAACAGACATCTGTGCTCTCCTGGACTCACCGCCTAAACAAATAATTACACAAGTCCTTATTAAAAGGCAACTGTAAAGTGAACTCTGGAGAAGCGCAGGTGCTGTGAGAGTTTCTGTGGGAGCCTTCGGTGGGCTCTGTTGCCCTGCCTCTCGTGTTAATGCAGGTCTCTGTGGGGCTGACTGTGTATGGGACAGGTCTCTGGACACCCCCTAAATCACCGTCATTTTACTCTGCCACTTGCTGTAAAATCTCGACCTCAGAAGACAAACCCTCTGGCTCTGGCCACACTGGCCCTGGCTGGAATTCCGCGCTTTGCTTCTCACCCAGCTCCTGGCCCCCTCCCTCTGACCCCAGCCCGGGTTATTGGGTCACTCTGACCTAAGTCTTATATTCCTGGGCGAAGCCAACTGCCAGGGGATACCTGGGGGGGTGAAGGAAGACAGGGAAGTCAGAGCGTCCTCATGGCACAGCCCAGTCACCCTTCCACCCAAGCTTTACTTTGTCTTACAAAGTGTAACTCTCCTTAAACGTTTCTGATGGCAAAACTAAAATACATGCATTATAATAAAAGCTAATGTTTCAAAAATAAATAAAGTTTCAATGTGTTCCCATTGTCCATTACATCTTCCAGCATAAACAACTCCTTTTAACAGCTGGGTATTTATACTTCCAGATACTTTTGTCTTTGTGTAAACACAGACGTTTATTTTTATGTTGTCTTTCATATTGTCCTGTAATCGATTTTATTTCATCTAAAAACTCATCACGTACACTTTTCAGGACAGTGCATGTAGACGCTCCTTATCCTTTCTGGGTGCCCAGTCTTTTATTGTATGAATGCACCATAACTTCTCTGTGACTCAATTCCCCGTTAATGAACGTATGTGTTCTGTCATATGTTGCTGTAATAAATTTTGTAGCGATGAATAGTCTTATACATACCTTTCTGTGTGTTAGGTTCTTCTTAGAAAGATATTTGGGGTCCAATATGATGCATTTTTAATGGGTTTTCATACACAGTGAGGTGCCCTTAACTACCCTTTACTTCACGTGTGGCTGGATGGGCTGACGTACACCATTCTGTTTGCTTCTAGTGTGTTCCTCCTTGGGAACTGTGCACCTCTGTTTCCCATGGTAGGTGCAGGTACCTAGCTAGAGTGTGTTTTTTGCTGAATCTCTTTATTCCAGTTGAATTTATTATTGTAATTGTGTAATTTATTTAATTGGTACATAAACCAAAAAAAGTATGAGAGGGAAAAGAGAAAGTTGTTGTAAAAAAAAGTTTGTTGTGTTTTTCTGATTCTCAACTTGAACTAAAAAAATTTTTTTAATAACTAACGACCTACCTCAATCATATCAGATACAGTGGCTTCAACTAACTCATAAACTCCGTCAACCACGTGGCCATTCTTACTGAGTTACATCCACTCTTAATCTGCCTTGCCAGTGTTGTCTCTGGAAAAACATCACATAGCTGTTAGGTTTGTTTATAAATTGGGTTATCTTTTCTCCTTAGAAATGCCTAAGAACCAGACATGTCTTCTCTAGTGTATCCATTGTAAGCTGGCCTGATGAAAGTGGATTTTTAACCCTTGTTTTCATCCTCAGGCCAAGCCATTGTAAGCTCTAGTAATCCTGACAAAGACACCACACTCATCCTTGTAGAGGAGAAATTTCTGTCTGAGAATTCCAGATTTTCTATCTGGAAATCACAACTGTTGCCTTTAAAAGTGAGAGAATGTCTGTATGCAAACATCTGGTCACTTTCTAACCAAATATAACATTAGAAATGGTTTTACAGCCCCTCCAAAATTTACAAACCCTTTATGTGATTATTGTAGGTACTTAATTGTTTGTTGGACCTATGGATACACAAGGAAACACATTTCTACAGGTTGGCCATACAGGGATTGAGTCTCATTAAGTCTGAATGATTTAAGAACTAAGTCATACTGAATTCATTCAACAAATATTTAAGTGCCCACTGGATACTTCCCAGTTTCTCGTAACTGCTAGGACCACCACAAGCCACAGTCAGCAGAACTGCTCCAAGATACTTGTGATCTAGCTAAAGACTTCAGGCCACTGGAAACACAGAAATTCAGTTAACAGTACAAGCACTGTCGGAAATGCTCTGACTGTAATGTGCACCTGGCCAGTGGAGAAGGATTCTGCAAGGAAGGAAAAAAGTCTTCTCATGAAATCCATCAGTTCTCTGCATCTTCTCAAGGCTTGCCCGTGTCATTTTAAAATCAATTTTCTTACACTGTGTGACATTTGACAGAGCACTGCAGAGACCACGAGACATCTCACTGCTGTGTTTTCTCTTCTAGGATATCAATGAGTGTATTCTTGAAAACTATCCCGAGTGTTCCAACCCCAGGTTATTTTACATCATTCCGTACTTTTGTGGACAGCATCCCAGATGCAGGTAAAGACTGAAACAGGCTGATGGCATGCAAATGTGGACAACAGCGGCAGGAAATCCACCAACTGGATGGCACGGGCATCTTTCACATCCTCTGTCTTTTGGCCTTCTGGAATTCTGTTTATATTTACTGTTAATCTTTAAAGATCACACTTGAGACTCTGAATGTCCAATAAATAAAGAAATTAACAAATCAGGGTCTGACAGAGGCCTTGGCAACCACCCATAAAGCTGTGTAGCTGAAATGCCCACCAAACTCTTCTTTTTACTTAACGCACAGCTGTCGCTACCCAGCCCACGAGATAGTAAAGAGCAGGGGGGAGCACTGACTGTGCTCCATCAGGAACTGTCCTTGCCTGTGTGGTGTGTCTCACTGAGTCTGAATCACTGGATGCTCACACCCCGAATTCTAGAGGGCCTCTCTCCTGAGACATACTCAGTAGAAAGAAAAGAAAGTACTTTCTAGTGATCACGCCTCAGCCTTACTTGGATGCTTGGCGTTCTTTAGAAAGTGACTTAGACAGTAAGGGCTCTCCGAGTGGGGTCCACCCACCTCCTGCATCCGCATCCTAATCACAGTCTCTGAGGTGGGGCCCAGGTTTGTGACCACCTCCCAGGTGACTGGTCCAGCTGCAGTTGAAACTCATCGTACTAGGCAAATATGTAGCTTCCAGAAGAAATGGTAGTGAGGATGAATATTATCTTTGCTCAGTGGAAAATAAACCATGCTGCCAGAAGTGACATTTTCCCCCAAAGGAGACATTGATTAGAAGGTCACTGTGTTCTTGAAGAGACCAGGGGTTGTGGAGGGGAGGGGGAGACACAGCTATTTCCAAATTGCTACTCATTCATGGTACATTTTGCCTTCACCACGATTACTGCTTAGTTATTATGTGTATTGTCGTTATGGATGTTTTGCTGGATTCACTGCTTTGTTTATGGTCAGAATTCTGGGACTAGAAGTGTCAGTTTTCTGCTTTATCATAACGCTTGAGTTCAGGAGGCCCCCTTCACCCACCCTCTCCCCTGTAATAAATGCCTCCTGGTTCACGGTCAGTGCTTCAGAGCCTGGGAAGATTTGAGGCCAGATGACTCCTTTTCTGTCACAATGAAGATATTCATTCCAAAAAAACATGATTCTAACTCCCTAAAATACTTTTAAAGTTTTTATTTCCTAAAATTGGGGCAAGTCCTTCTGATGCCTCATCTAGGTGCACACAGGATGATTTTCAAAACGCTTTCAAGATGGCACCTTGTTCCACCTTGACAACAATTATTTGAGCTCATGTCAGTGTTAGCTCAGAGACTGGCCTTACTAACAAGATCAGGCTGTTTTCCTTCTGTAATTTAAAAAAAAAACACGCCAGATTTGTCTTTAAACTCTTCAAAAGAATGAGAAGATTAACAAACATGATCTGACACCTGTTTTGATTTCTACAGAAGAAATCAGTCAGTTTCACATTTCCAAACTTCTAATTTTATGGATTCGGTTTGGTCCTTTTACTAAAAAGACGTTCTAGTCAGTGTTTATGGAGACCGAACTACCCAGGCCTGTGTTCTTCTTCTAACAAACATTTAGGTGGGGCAGGCTAAGTCCGAGGCCCTGGCACCACACACAGGTGAGGGTGACAGAGGTGAGACCAGGACGGGAACGGGGGCAGGGGCAGCTGGAAGGCTGCTGGAGGCACTGCTCCTGGGCTGGTCCTTGAAGGAAGTGGGATTTGGGCTTTTGCGAAGGGATGGAGGGTTGAGGGGAGAGACCATCAGCATGTTGTTGGCTGCATTTCAAAAACCAATCTTTGACTCCCAAATCCTTTTTATATCCATAAAGGGAGCCTGGTGAGTGGGCCCTGGAAAGAGCAAAACTGAACGTGAATGAAAACTTCCTGCTTGTGGGGATCCTCGAAGAGTTGGAAGATGTGCTGCTTTTACTGGAAAGATTTTTACCTCATTACTTCAAAGGTGTGCTCAGTATCTACAAAGACCCAGGTAAGTCCGTTTGTGAGCGAGCGCTTCTCCATTCCGGGGGTTTCTCATCTAGAAAAGGATTCGGGAAATAAAGGAATGAAATCATCTCTTCTGTTAGTGAAGGGAAGTTCCCCTGGCTTCAAAGCAAAGTTAGAACCACGAGATATAGATGCCAAAACCTGGAGTTTCAGGCCAAACACAAACTCACCATGTTTTAAAGGCCTTCCTCCTTTAAATGTTTTAAATGGTTCCATTCCTCCCTTTGGAGAATGAAACTGGCAACATCCCCATTGGCCTTGTCCTGAGCGTGTTGCTGGGGTGACCCAGCGAACAGGCAGGTGCGTGTCCGAGTCCGTCGATGGGAACGTGTGGGAGTAGGAGGGAGCCACTGTGTGAGGAGGTATCTCTGGTCCCACTTCCACTTGACAGAAGCAAGTCCTGGCACAGAGAATAGAGAAAGCAGCCCATTGAAAATACAATTATGATTTTACTTCAACAAATGGAGTGGTTTCCAGATGGAAGCAAGAAGGAGAATGCAGCAAAGCACTTACAAGCAGTGTCCCTGCAGATAGGGTAGCTTTCAGAAATCCATTGTTGCTTTTTCTCATTGTCGTTGTGTCCTGAGAGAAAGACAAAAACACTGTTTCTTTCCTGTTCTCCTTCATCTACGGCAGCACCACCACCACCTGGTCACGTCTGTTGATGGTTTTGTTCTGTTGTCCTGAAATGAGAGGCCTGTTCTGCCGGGTAGGAGTAGTGAGCTGTCGATATTTTTCTTAGTCATGATTTCTTTAGGAACTAACATCATAGTGGTGTTAAAGGCCAAAGTAAATAAGCAAGTTAATTAAAGAGAGAATAAGTGGATATCTGTGATTGGAGAAGTGTTTATATCAATGTCCCTCATAAACACACCCTTGATTTGGACAAATAACCGAGCTGTTCCAGTTCAGTAGCGCCACCTAGCATCGGGACATGGAACTGTATACCTGATGTTAACCCATCACCTTCCTTCTGCCTGGGGACTTGAAAGCTCAGGTGTCCAATCCCTTTCCCTTGTATTTTAAATGCTTTCTGTTACCAACATTGTATTAGTATTCATTTTCAACTTATTTCCATTACAAATGTAAACACTGGAGCCACAGGAGGGAATTTACTAGACTTTTGTGGGCTGTCCTGATCGCCAACTACTACAAAAGGAAAAACGTGTAATTCCAAATGACCGCCATACTAACTTTGAGGATGTAAGTTCATTCATAAATTAACTGCTTTGTTTTTTCAAAAAAAAAAGTTTTTACTTAAATATTTTATAAGCAATGATGATAAATACAGTACAAACTTAAATATTATTATCTTTATTAGGCATGAGTTACAAAAAAAATAGACCTCCCATTAAGAGTATAGTACTGTGCTCTCAGAGTTCATTTGCATCGCAGTATTAAATCTGACGATATTTACATAGAAAGTTGAAACTGGCCTGTTATTCATGAAGAACAGTTCTTTAAAGAAAGAACACTGAGTTGGGAGTTAGACTAGACTTTTTTCTGCAGTAGTTCTGCCCATAGGACTCAGAGCAAATGCAGCTTTGGGAGGCTGAGCACTGAGATCTGTATTACTATGATGCTGAGGTATCATGTAGAACGTTGTAAGGCTCCTTTTCCTACCTCTTGTTGGTTAGCGCAATTATAGGGTGCTTTTCTCCCACCCCCAAAAAGTTCTAGACAGTCCCCATTGCTTTCATAATTCCCAGGTTTAGTTACAGAGGCTCTCGCCACCTAGAGGACACGAAGGATCCTGGATGGAGGGGCATTTGTGCAGAATCCATTCTTCCCTAAAGCTGGTGACCTTGAAGTGATCGAGGCAGGGACCCCAGCTCACTCTCTGGTCACGACACCCCGCCCTCTCTGTTCTCACTGTGTGCGTCTCTGTGGAGGAGACGGGATATCACAGTGATGGGAGCACAGGCTCTGGAGTAGACAGCCTGGGCGTTAAAGCCCCTCCTCCACTTAGCCGATAGCCAGAGGGAAGGGGTGACCCCTCTACCCCTCAGTTTCCCCAAATGTATAAGACGCATAAACAATACTGGGTTGTTGTGAGACGTACCTGATCGGATCCATGTAAAGTCATTGGCCCAGAGCTTAAGGTATGATGTGTTCAATAATTAGCTATTAGACTGCCAACAGCATTACAGGAGAGAGACGGGGCCTGTGTCTGTGAGAAGCTAGGACTTAAGCTCTCTGTGTAACTTCTACAGGAAAGAAGGATCGGGGGCAGGGAGGGAGGCAAGAAGGAAGGACAGAAAAAAGAAAATGATGACCCTTAACTTATTTCATCAGTGATAGCTGAACTATGACTAGCAAATCGAACGCCTTTAGGAAATAGTATTTCTGACTTGGGAGGAGGGGAACGGTTGCATTCTGGCCAATTCCTTATTCCTGAAACAACCATAGGGAATAAGCTTAATGGAAATATTACTGCAGTGACATGTTCAAGGGCTGAAAATCACACACCATCCAAATTACTGAGGTTTTTTTTTTAAATCATCTTTTTTTCTATGCTTGAACTCTTACCAGAGATATCAGGGACTTAAATTTCAACTTTAAATGAAACCCACTGTTGAGATGTGATTGGGACCAATACCATTAACTTGGGGTGAATGTTGAATCTTTCAGACTATTATATATAAGTTATTTAGTAGCTATAGGATGGGTGTACAGTGATTTAATGGCATTTTTATTTTAACTAAGACCCTAAGATTCAGTTCTTGAAAAACCTTTAGTTTATTTTCTTTATGCAGAATTACTTACTTCAGAACTGAGTTAATGTATTAAACTTTGTCCAGCAGGTGGCAGTGTCTCTCCATTTTCTCAGGGAAGTGCATGTGTTTCCTAACAGTTTGCATCTGCAGGCAGGAGTTTACAGAGTGCTTGAACACAGATGTACAATTATGACCAATTTGGGGCCTAAAAATGGGATCATATCAAAAGGGTTCCAAGAACAATTGATTGCAGTAGTCCAAAGTGCATTATATGAGAACCAAGGGAGTCAGGGAAGGGGGGATGGTTTACAGTCAAATAAGTTTGTGTGGGTTAAAAAGTTTATATACCAGCAACTCTGATTTTATAAAAATCATCCATCATTCCACGATTGGATTAAACATGCTGTTTTTCACTTTTCACTTACATTTTTGCTTCCCACGTCTTACTATTTTTGTGCTATAACAAAACCCAAAACATTGTAGAACCTCACAGAGATACAACTGATGGTCAGGAGAAATTCAGACCATCTACAGACACCAATGAAATTGTTAAAAAACTCAATTATCATTTATAAAAATAGGACCCCCCACTCTGTTATTAGTCCATGTGCCATCAATATTCTCCAAAAAGATTTGTTTTTCACCAGTCATGTCCTAGGCTCAGGTTCTTTTTTGGGTGTGTCTGTGTGTGGGGTGTGTGTGTGTGTGTGTATATATATAATTAAAATATAGTCAGTTTACAATGTTGTGTTAGTTTCTGGTGTACAGCATAATGCTTCAGTCATACGTGAACATACATATATTCATTTTCATATTCTTTTTCACCATAAGTTACTACAAGATACTGAATATAGTTCCCTGTGCTATACAGTATGAACTTGTTGTTTATCTATTATATATATATTAGTTAGTATCTGCAAATCTTGAACTCCTAATTTATCCCTTCCCATCCCCTTCCCTCCCGCCCGGTAGCCATAGGTTTGTTTTCTGTGTCTGTGAGTCTGTTTCTGTTTCGTGAATAAGTTGGTTTTTTGTTTTTTTTTTAGATTCCACATATAAGTGGTATCATATGGTATTTTTCTTTCTCTTTCTGGCTTACTTCACTTAGAATGACAATCTCCAGGTCCATCTGTATTGCTGCAAGTGGCATTTTTTATTATTTTTATGGCTGAGTAGTATTCCATTGTATAAATATACCACAGCTTCCTTATTCAGTCATCTGTTAGTGAACATTAGGTTGTTTCCATGTCTTGGCTATTGTAAATAGTGCTGTTATGAACATTGGGGTGCATGTATCTTTTTGAATTAAGGATCCCTCTGGATATATGCCCAGGAGTGGGATTACTGGGTCATATGGTAATTCTATTTTAAGTCTTTTGAGGAATCTCCATACTGTTTTCCACAGTGGCTGCACCAAACTGCCTTCCCACCAGCAGTGTAGGAGGGTTCCCTTCTGTCACACCCTCTCCAGCATTTATCATTTGTGGACTTTTGAATGATGGCCATTCTGACTGGTGTGAGGTGATATCTTGTTATAGTTTTGATTTGCATTTCTCTGATAATTAGCGATATTGAACATTTTTTCATGTGCCTATTGGGGTTTTTTGTTTCCTTTTTGGTTTTTTTCTAGGCTCAGATTCTAATCATGTTGATACTTCGTTGTATGTGTGTGTGTGTGTGTGTGTGTAGTATGTGTGTGTGCGTGTGCATCCATTCATGTTCAGACAGCTAAAGTCCTTGTTATGCAACACGGTTATCTAAGTGAATAGCCTTGCATCAAAAAGTCAGCAACAGTTCCTAAATAATAATAATTTGCATAGCAGTTTGCACTTTCCTATAGATGAGCTCATTTGCTTCCTACACGAACCCTCTGAAGCTGAGGAGGACAAAGAGTCTTTGTCTCGTTTTCTAAACAAAGAAACAGAGAATCAAAGGGTAGTATAACTTACTCACAGTTATCAAGTCCCAGTAACCACAGTCATTCAAGCTTCTGTCCCCAGAACCACCACAAACTCCATGAACCTGTGACCCACCACATTTTCTTCATGTCTAATCACTAATGCAGAGGTCTGCAGTTGAAAATAAAAGCTTAAAAATAAAATCTGTAGATTATCTCCATTCAACATATGGTCTGATTTTATAGTAATAACTTTCCAAAAATATTTCTCTTCTGTGAAGACTAATATTTAAATAGCAGGCATAATCTGAAAATACCAGAAAAATTCAACAAACGCTTTCAGCAAACGTTTAAGTGTCTGCGATACAC